TACTGTATAAAAGCTGATGAAGAAATTGTAATAGGAAGAGCTCATCTCTTTAGAGGATGCTCCTTGTTGGAGAACAGTTTCTTCTGCCCAGTAAACCTTTGCACTCTAATTGCCTTACTGATCAGATTTTTTTCTTTTGACATCTGCTAGGGGAGGAACCCCTCAACTCTAGAAAACAGGGGGCAGTTGCCACACCTGAGAAAAGGTGGGAAAGATGGTCACAGCTAGCTCTCTGTCCAGGCAACCCAGGGTCACTTCTGGATAATTTTTATTACATCAGCACACAAGACCAGTTGTCCTCTTTCTAGGACTTGGACCTTTCGAAAGTTGATGCACTCAATGAGCTAACATTTCCATTAGGTAGATATACTCCTTGGAGAGATGAATCATGGGAGAATAGAAGGGCTGTGTATGCACAGGGAGATAGCTGGGGGGTGCGGGTGGGGCAGGAGTGCATGGGAGGGAAGGACACAGGGAAGAGGTAACTATGGGGAGGAAGTGGGAAGAGAGCTGTTGTATTGTGGGAAATTGCAGTCAATGTCATGAGACCAAGTGCATGTGAACTGCTGTATGGAAAATTAATTTGCTCTGTAAACTGCCACCCAAATCACAATAAAAATTTAAAAAAAGTAAGTTGATACACTCAAGCCGGACATGAAAATTGACAAGAGGAAGCAGCTGGTGGCCCAGCTATTTTCCCTTTGTATATTGGGAATCATTTTTAATGTGTGTTAAGAGACTGTGTTCACTGATTGTAAATTTGTTAGTTTTTCATCCTACCACATGGCTGTTAGGAGAGCAAATAACTATAGGAATTTGTACTCCAAAAAGAAACACCAAGGGGTACTGAGGAATAAAATACTTATATTAACAACAATCACTTCCATTTCTTCCTTTGAAGTGCTCTGAATGGTTACCTTCGTGTTCAAAGAGAACCACAGAGCTCTGGCACACACACAAGAAGGTGCTCCAGACTTGCTGAATGTGAAATGAATAAATTATATGTAATGGCCAGAGAATTTGCTGGTACCAGACACCATCTGAAATCTGCCTGAAATATCTAAAATATGACTCATGGTAAAATATCTAGCATCATAGTTGGTATCCTTGTAAGACTGGATACTTAAGGTGTTTTGTTACTTTAAAATAGCCACTGCCAACAAATCAAAATACAAAATTTAGTAACTGATCAGTAAAATTAAGGATCACTGCAGATCATCTTCCAAAAAAGATGCAGCTCAAGTTTTCCCCTCTGTGGCTCCTGACCTTTCTTTATTGTGCCTATTCCCTCTTGGGCAGTCCCTGGGTGGCACAAATGATTTGCAATCATCTACTAATCGAAAGGTTGGTGGTTTGAACTCACCCACCAGTTCAGTGGGAGAAAGACCTGTTGATTTGTTCTCATAAAGACTCGCACTGGCATTGACTTGATTCAGACTCATAGAGACCCCCATTGCATTTCTGAGGCGGTAAATCTTTATACCAGTAGATTGCCTCGTCTTCCTTCTGCGGAGTAGCTGGTGGGTCTGAACCGCCAACCTACTGGTTAGCAGTCCAATGACTTAGGCACTGTGCCATCACAATCTAAAAAACTCTATGAGGTGATTCTACTCTGTCACATGGACTCACTATGAGTTGAAACTGACAGCATGTAACAAACGTTTTTAATCCCCCACCCCCACCCCATAAAACCTTCTGATACCTCAATATCTCAGGGACCATTTCAAATAATTAAACATTTTATGGGCCAGAGATAAGCCAAGATGCTGTAGACAGCAGGAATTATTACCTTTCTGAAAATATACCAATTGCTTCAACTTTTTGGAATGGGAAGCTTGAGCAGAGGGCCAAAAATTTAAAAACACAGGTCACAGCACCTTTTATTTGTCATCACACAAACAGATGTGACATGAAATACACTCAACTTCTCAAAACAGTCTTAGTGCCATTCAGAATCCAACAAGAAAGTCATTGATTTTGCCTTGAGTTAGGAAACCATGAGCTTGGCACCTTTGGACACTGTGGATGGAAAAAAAAATGTGGAAGGTGCATGAAATCCGCAGTCCATACCAGGAGTTCTCCAAAGGAGTTTAATGTTGGACACAGTGAGGTGGCACTTGGCACAGAACGTTTTCCTGAGAGAACACATCACACACGAGAGTCTTTCCAGGGCCCCTTCCTCCTCCTTGATATGTAGCATGAAGTTCGTGGGAGGGGGTTGCACCCAGGAGTCTCTCACTGCCAGATTCCCACCAACATATGGCAGATAACTGTACAGCTTTACAAATTCACAGGCAAAAAATAAATTCTCATGATTTATTAGTTTATAACCAAGATCAATTCACAGAGCTTGGTGGCCACAATGGTTTGATCTCATTTCTTCCTTTGTGGATACATCTGTGTGCCTTGGATCAGATAAAAAATTAAATACTTCCTGTCAATAAACTATGACACAGATGAAGGACAGTCTACAGTAGCTCATTCTTTTGGCTAAACACGTTTCTTTTTTTGCTATCCAGTTTCTTATATGCAAATTCATTGTTTTAAGACAATCTGAACCCACTCTGCCTCAGAGGCGACCCTATTATGACCAAATATCTATGGAACTTGGGCCTAAGTTGGATTTTTATTTAGAGTGCTCACATATTGTAACGCGACGTGTACGTGTACTAAAATAAACAGTGGTAGCTCGCCGGAGTCAAGCCACCTAAATTAGGCTTTTTTAAAACATCTGATGCATTCTTATTCTAGGCACAAAAACAACATCTTTAGAAAAATAAAGTTGTGACTTAAAAGGCCTTCATTTCATAAGGAAGAGGAATAAAATTTAGATGCTAGTAGATATTGAATCATGAGCCCAAGGCCTGTTTGGATTATTAACTAGGTCGTTTGCCCTTTAGATTCTGAAAA